ACAGAGTCCTCCAAATAATACACACATCTACAGCCATCTGATCTTTTGACAAACCTGACAAAAACAAGAAATGGGGAAAAGTTCCCTATTTAATAAATGGTGCTGAGGAAAATTGGCTATGTAAGTAAGCGAAACTGGATCATATACCTTGCTCACTATCTGAAAGTCAATTCAAGATGGATTAGAGACTTAAATGTTAGACCTAATACCATAAAATCCTAGAGGAAAACCTACAGTGATGCCATTCAGGACATGAGCATGGGCAAAGACTTCACTGTCTAAAACACCAAAACAACGGCAGCAAAGCCAAAATTGACAAATGGGATCATTAAACTAAGAGCTTCTGCTGTGAAAAGAAACTACCATCAGAGTGAACAGGCAACCTACAGATAGGAGAAAGAACACCTCCAATCTCACTCATCTGACAAAGGGCTAATATCAGAACCTACAAAGAACTCAAACAAATTTTAGAAAAAAACAACCCCATCAAAAAGTAGAGCAAGGATGTGGACAGACATTTCTCAAAAGAAGACATTCATACAGCCAACAGACACATGAAAAAATGCTCCATCATCACTGGCCATCAAATGCAAATCAAAACCACACAATGAATACCATCTCACACAGTTCGAATACGCGATCATTCAAAAGTCAGGAACCAACAGGTGCTGGAGAGGATGTGGAGAAATAGGAACACTTTTACACTGTTGGTGGGATTGTAAACTAGTTCAACCATTATGGAAAACAGTATGGCGATTCCTCAAGGATCTAGAACTAGATGTACCATATGACAGCATCCCATTACTAGGTATATACCCAAAGGATTATAAGTGTATGCTGCTATAAAGACACATGCACAATATGTTATTGCAGCCTCTTCCTAATGTAAAGACTTGGGAGATCAACCCAAATGTCCATCAGTGACAGATTGGATTAAGAAAATGTGGCACATATATGCCATGGAATACTATGCAGCCATAAAAAGGATGAGTTTGTGTCCTTTGTAGGGACATGGATGCAGCTGGAAACCATCATTCTCAGCAAACTATCCCACAAGAACAGAAAACCAAACACCGCATGTTCTCACTCATAGGTGGGAACTGAACAATGAGATCACTTGGACTCGGGAAGGGGAACATCACACACCGGGGCCTATCATGGGGAGGAGGGAGGGATTGCATTGGAGTTATACCTTGTCAAATGTGAGTTGATCGATTGCAACTGCATCCATGGCACAGAGTATTATACATATGTAGCAAACCTGCCGGACATGTAAATGACGAGTTGATGGGTGCAGCACACCAACATGGCACAAGTATACATATGTAGCAAACCTGCACGTTGTGCACATGTACCCTACAACTTGAAGTTTAATAATAATAAATTAAAAAAAAAACAAAAAACAAAAAACCAAAAGGTTAGAAACCATAATCAAATGGAATTTATCCCAGTGATGCAAGCATGGTTCAACATGTGCAAATCAGTCAGTGTGTGATACATCACATTGACAGAATGAAGGACAAAAACGATACGATCATCTCAATAGGACAGAAAAAGCATTTTGTAAAATTTAACATCTTTCCCTGTTAAAAACTATTGACAGGTTAGATATAGAAGAAGAATACCTCAACATAAGAGCTGTATATGACACATCCACAGCTGACATCACACTGAATGAGGAAAAGCTGAAATACTTTCCTCTAAGACTGGAACAAGACGAAGATACCCACTTTTAATTCTCCTATTCAACATAGTACTTGAAGTCATAGCCAGAGCAGTCAAGCAAGAGAAAGAAATAAAAGGCATCTAAATTGGAAAGGAGGAAGTCAAATTGTCCCTCTTTGTAGATGACATAATCTTATACATAGGAAAACCTAAACACTCTACTAAAAATCTCTTAGAACTGATAAATGTATTCAGGAAAGCTGTAGGATACAAAGTCCAACGTACAAAAATCAGTGGTGTTTCTATACACCAATAATGAAGTGGCAGAAAAAGAAATCAGAGAGCAATCCCATTTACAATAGCTACAGAAAAATAAAATACTTAGGAATAAATTTAACCAAGGAGGTAAAAGACCCCTACAAGAAAAGTTATAAAACATTATTGAAAGAAATTAGGACACAAACATAAAGACATTTGATGCTCATGGATTTTAATAATTAATATTGTTAAAATGACCATACTGCAGAAAGAAATCTACAGATTCAGTGCAACTCCTATCCAAATACCAATGACAATCTTCACAAAAAATAGAAAACCAAAAGACCCTAAACAGCCACAGCAATACTGAGCAAAATGAACTAATCTGGAAGCATTACACTACCTGATTTCAAAACACGCTACAAATCCAGATTAATGAAAACAGCATGGTATTGGTATAAAAAGACTCATAGACCAATGGAACAGAATAGAGAAACGAGAAATATATCCAACTGTTTATAGTCAACTGATTTTTGACAAATGCACCAAGAACATACAGACACCCTTCAATAAGTGGTGCCAAGAAAATTGGATACCCATATCCAGAGGAATGAAATTAAACCCCTATCTCTCACTATGTACCAAAATCAACTCAAAACAGATTAAAGACTTAAGGCACAAAACTATAAAACTAGAAGAAAACATAGGAGAAAAGCTTCAAGATACTGATCAAAGCAAAGATTTTATGACTAAGACCTCAGAAACACAGGCAACAAAAGCAAAAATAGACCAAGAGGACCATATTAAAAGCTGCTGCACAGCAAAAGAACAGAATGAAGAGACAATCTATAGCATGGGAGCAAACATTTGCAAACTGTTCATCTAACATGGGACTAATATCTAGAGTATACAAGGAACTCACACTACTCAACAGCAGAACACCAAGTTATTCCATTAAAAAGAGTGCAAAGGGGCCGGGCACAGTGGCTCACGCCTATAATCCTGGCACTTTGGGAGGCCGAGGCAGGTGGATCACAAGGTCAGGAAGTAGAGACAATCCTGGCTAATATGGTGAAACCCCATATCTACTAAAATACAAAAAAATAAAAAGTAGCCGGGCGTGTTGGCATGCCTGTAGTCCCAGCTACTTGGGAGGTTGAGGCAGGGGGATCGCTTGAACTGGGAAGCGGAGATTGCAGTGAGCTGAGACTGTGCCACTGCACTCCAGCCTGGCAACAAAGCAAGACTATGTCTCAAAAAAAAAAAAAAAAAAAAAAGGAAAATAAAATGTGGGCAAAGGATCCTAATAGATCTTTCTCCAAAAAAGACATATAAATGGCCAACAACTATATGAAAAAAATGCTCAATATCACTGATCATCAGGGAAATGCAATGTCAAAACCGCAGCAGAAAACCACAGTTAGAATGGCTATTATCAAAAAGACAAATAATAATAATAATAATAACAAATGCTGACAAAGAAGTGGAGAAAAGGCAACTCTTTTTTTTTTTTTTTTTTTTTGATATGGAATCTCACTCTGTCGCCCAGGCTGGAGTGCAGTGGCGCATTCTTGGCTCACTGTGAGCTCTGCTTCCCGGGTTCACGAGAGAAAAGGCAACTCTTACGCACTGTTGGTGGGAATGTAAATTAGTACAGCCACTATGGAAAACAGTATGAGACTTCCCAAAAAACAAAACAGAACCACCATTCGATCCAGCAACCCTACTACTGGATATTTATCAAAAAGAAAGAAAAATCAGTATATCAATGAGACACCAGCACCCTTGTGTTTATTGCGGCACTGTTCACAATAGCCAAGATATAGAATTAATCCAAGTGTTTGTTAACAGATGAAAGGATGAAGAAAGTGTGGCATATATGCACAATGGAATACTATCCTGCCATAAAAAGAATGAAATCCTGTCATTTGTAGCAACATGGATAGAAGTAGAGGTCAATATGTTAAATGAAATAAGCCAGGCACAGAAAGATAAATATCTCATATTCTCTCATATGTAGGAGCTAAAAAACAAAAACAAAACCAAAAAAAAGTGAATCTCTTGGAGACAAAGAATAGAATAGTGGTTACCAAGGGTTGAGAATGGTGGGGTGGTGGGGTTGAAGAGAGGTTGGTCAGCAAGTACAAACATATAGTTAGAAGGAATAAGTTGTAGTGTTTGATAGCACCGTAGGGTGAGTGTAGTTAACAGTAATTTATTGTACATTTCAAAGTAGCTAGAAGAGATTTGAAATGTTCCCAACAGAAAGAAATGATAAATGTTTGATGCAGTGAATATCCTAAATACCCTGATTTGATAGTTATACATTGTATGCATGTATCAAAATATCACATGTACTTCATAAATATTTTAAAATATTATATATCAATTTAAACATTTTTTAAAAATTCAAAACCTAGGATCCTCACTTCTGCACTTAGGTCCCTAACTTCTGTATCATACTGATGCTCATTATGTAATTTGAGCTTCAATAACTTTGTAAGGAAGATAATACAGACTCTTATCTGAATTTTACGTTCAGGAAAGTGTCTCTTGGAGAGATTAAGTGATTTGTCTGAAATTTCACAGTCTATGAGTGGCATAACTCGAACTAGAATCTACTTCTTCTAATTTCAACCAGCCAGCAGTAAAGGAATAGCATGGAGAAGTGTTTGGGAGGGAGCCCTTTATTGTTAAAGGTATCAGTGTGGAAAGTCTGAAGAAGCCGGATCAGGCAGCTCAGAAAGTGGTACAGTATGTGGAGAGGACAGTGGCAAAGCAAAAATTTAGTGGCAGTCACCCACTTGTGACTTGTCTGTTAGTCAGATCTGAAGGGCTAAGGTTTGAATCTGGACTTTGCCACTTTGTTGCTATGTGACCTTCAGCAAATCATGTCCTTACTCTAGGCCTTAGTTGTCTCCACCAAATAATGAGTAACACTTATTTTACAGAGTTATCAGTATCAAATGAGATCATGAATATAAAAGGCATAGTAGACTGCCCAGCATATCGAAAGTACTTAATAAAATTTAGTTTCTTTCCTGGTAGAGTTTATTTTTCTTTCCTTCTTTCCATAGCATTTATCTAGTCGGCAGAGTGTACAGCAAAGCACATCCCAGGTAAGTGGCTTTCCTGGGTCTTCCAGCCTTTCCCCTCAACTTTTTCTATTAAGAGATTACAACATATGAATACACCAGGAAATGACAGACACCACTGACTTCTCGACTGTGTGGTGTCTTTATCTGAGGAGCCTTGACCTCTAAACAGTCTTGGCCAGACTCTACTTCTACTGTGCAAATTTGCATAAGCACAATTAAAGCAGACTGAAACTAAAATGAATCAATCTGGGAGAAAATAAAAATGTTATTTAGAATCGTAACTATTACCGGGTAACAGTGTAAATCAAGTGCATTGGGGTCATAATGGCATTTCTTAAAAATGACTTTGAAAATGGTTTTCTGGGTGGGACGCGGTGGCTCATGCCTGTAATCCCAGCACTTTGGGAGGCTGAGGCAGGTGGATCACCTGAAGTCAGGAGTTTGAGACCAGCCTGGCCAACATGGTGAAACCCGTCTCCACTAAAAATACAAAAATTAGCTGGGCATGGTGGTGAGTGCCTGTAATCCCAGCTACATGGGAGGCTGAGGGAGAATTGCTTGAACCCTGGAGTAAGAGGTGCAGTGAGCCGAGATCATGCTATTGCACTCCAGTCTGGGTGGCAGAGTGAGACTCTGTCTCAAAAAAAAAAAAAAAAAGAAAAAGAAAAAAAGAAAATGGTTTCCTGGAGAATTAAGATGTTTGTCACCTAGTGGAGATCTTTAGTTCACTTGTAAGTTGGAATTACTGTCCCTGTATTTCTTTCACTGTTTATTCCTCCCAGCTGCTTGCTTGCCCACCTCAACCCAAGTCTGTTGATGCAGCATCCCCTACAAGCAAAGAAAACATCTTCATTTTCTCAAATAATCTCCTTCAGTAGTGTGAAAAGAGTTTGTAATTTAGTTTGCACCTTTTAATGATCAATATAAAAACTAAAATAAAAATCACCGGGTTTTCTTCTTCCTCACTAGGTAGATACAATGCGCCCACGTCATGGGGAAACATGTCGGATGCCAGTGCCACATCACTTCTTCCTCAGCCTGAAGAGTTTCACTTACAATACTATTGGGGAAGATACCGATGTCTTCTTTTCCTTATATGACATGAGGGAAGGCAAGCAGATCAGGTGAGAGTCACCTGAAATTCTGGTGAGGTTGTGATTCTATATTAGGATGGTATGGGTCATAGGCATTTCTGACCTTCAGAGAAGACAGATGCACAGAAGAGGCAAAACAAGATAAGGTAACCTCATCTCATTAGCTAGGAGTTTTGGCCCCAATTCCCTGTGTGCCCTTAAGTCATCTAAACCATACCATGGGTGGCCGCCTTTTTTATGCCTTTTTCCACATAGAAGCTCAAAATTGAGTCTTTGCCACCACGTCACAGAGAGAAAAGGATGCATCTATTTAATACCAAGAAAAGTCACAGGAGAAACATAGAACCAGGCAAATGCAGCAGAGACACACAGTTCCAGAGTGCAGGAAGCCCTGGGCCTTGGCTTGTTGCTGTGGAAGAGAGGTTTTGCAGAAAAAAGGGGCTGATGGTGTCTTGTCTGGGGCAGCCCATGAAAGGAGAGCATCTTCTGGGTTTCTTTTACATTGCTTGGAAACTTCTTGTGTTAGGAGTGCTTTATGGCTTTTACTTGCTTTAGTACTTAAAATTTGAAAGCAGATTTTTCACTTTTCCAATTATACATCACGTGGGAAAATTAGAAATGGAAGTTAAAGCAGAATGCAAAAGAAAAACAGTTAATTTGCATGCCCCACAGTGCCTCTGATCTTGAGAAAAATATTAATACACTATGCTTTACTTTGGCATAGGAATAAAATGATGCACCCATTGATCAGGACATGTGAATTTTCCTTATCACCAATGGCTCCTAGTATGTGCCCTTGGGACAGTTATTGTAGAGAAAGTAGTAGTGGTATTGATGAAAGCTAAAACTGTTGCACACAGGCAAGACTATGGGCCAGGACTGTGTGGGTATAGATTCTGGCTGTTGTTCTTTTCCTACCCAGATTTTTTGTAAACTCTATTTTGTGTGAGTGTGTGTATGTGAGTGTGTGTGTGTGAGTGTGTGTGTGTGTAAAAATCCTTTCTTCAAGCTAAATTTTATGAGAAAGTCCAATATATGAAACAGATAAAACTATTCCATTATTGTGGCCCGGGCGCGATGGCTCACGACTGTAATCCCAGCACTTTGGGAGGCTGAGGAGGGTGAATCTCGAAGTCAGGAGTTCGAGACCAGCCTGACCAACATAGTGAAACCCCATCTCTAACAAAAATGCAAAAAATTAGCTGGGCGTGTTGGTGGGCTCCTGTAAGCCCAGCTATTCCGGAGGCTGAGGCAGGAGAATCAGTTCCACCCAGGAGGCGGAGGTTGCAGTGAGTCGGGATCGCGCCACTGCACTATAGCCTGACTGACAGTGCAAGACTTGGTCTCAAAAAAAAAAAAAAGAAAAAGAAAAAAGGTGGATTGCCGGCAAGATGGCCAAATAGGAACAGCTCTGGTCTGCAGCTCCCAGCAAGATCGATGCAGCAGTCGGGTGATTTCTGCATTTTCAACTGAGGTACCCAGTTCATCTCATTGGGACTGGCTGGACAGTAGATGCAGCCCATGGAGGGCAAACCGAAGCAGGGTGGGGCATCCCCTTACCCGAGAAGCGCAAGGGGTTGGGAAATTTTCTCCCCTACCCAAGGGAAGCCATGAGGGACTGAGCCTGAGGAACCGTGCACTCTGGCCCAGATACTGCGCTTATCCCATGGTCTTTGCAACCCACAGACCAGGAGATTCCCTCTGGTGCCTAACCCACCAGATACTTGGATTTCAAGCACAAAACTGGGTAGCCATTTGGGCAGACACCCAAATAGCTGCAGTTTTTTTCTCCATAACCCAGTGACACCTGGAATGCCAGCGAGACAGAACTGTTCACTCCCCTGGAAAGGGGTGCTGAAGCCAGGGAGCCAAGTGGTCTGGCTTGGTGGGTGCCACTCCCATAGAGCCTAGCAAACTAAGATTCACTGGCTTGAAATTCTCACTGCCAGCACAGCAGCAGACTGAGATCAACCTAGGCCACTCCAGCTTGGTGCGGCGAGGGACATCTGCCTTACTGAGGCAGTTGCCCCTCTGCGACGAAGCTTCCAGTGGAAAGAACAGGCAGCAATTTAATCCATCTTGAGTTAATTTTTGTATAAGGTGTAAGGAAGGGGTTCAGTTGCAGTTTTCTGCATATGGCTAGCCAGTTTTCCCAACACCATTTATTAAATAGGAAGTTATTTCCCCATTGCTTGTTGCGTGAGTAGGTGGTTTTATGCTCAACAGTATAAACAAAGCCACTAGGAAGTTTGAACTGGGTGGAGCCTACTGCAGCTCAGTAAGGCTGCTGTGTCCAGACTACCAGATTTCTCCTCTCTGGGCAGGGCATCTCTGAAAAAAAGGCAGCAACCCCAGTCAGGGACTTACAGATAAAACCCCTGTCTCCCTGGGACAGAGCACCTGGGGGAAGGAGCGGCTGTGGGTGAAGCTTCAGGAGACTTAAAAGTCCCTGCCTGATGTCTCTGAAGAGCACAGCAGACCTCCTGGAACAGCGTTTGAGCTCTCCTAAGGGTCAAACTGCCTCCTCAAGTGGGTCCCTGACCCCCATGTATCCTGACTGGGAGACACCTCCCAGTAAGGGCCTATAGACACCTCATGCAAGAGAGTTCTTGCTGGCATCTGGCAGTTGCCCCTCTGCGACGAAGCTTCCAGAGGAAAGAACAGGCAGCAATTTAATCCATCTTGAGTTAATTTTTGTGTAAGGTGTAAGGAAGGGGTTCAGTTGCAGTTTTCTGCATGTGGCTAGCCAGTTTTCCCAACACCATTTATTAAATAGGGAGTCATTTCCCCATTGCTTGTTTGTGTTAAGTTTGTCAAAGATCAGATGGTTGTAGATGTGTGGTATTATTTCTGAGGCCTCTCTTCTGTTCCATTGGTCTATATATCTGTTTTGGTACTAGTAATACGCTGTTTTGGTTACTGTAGTCTTGTAGTACAGTTTGAAGTCAGGTAGAGTGATGCCTCCAGCTTTGTTCTTTTTGCTTAGGATTGTCTTGGCTATGCAGGCTCTTTTTTTGGTTCCATATGAAATTTAAAGTAGTTTTTTCCAATTCTGTGAAGAAAGTCAGTAGTAGCTTGATGGGGATGGCATTGAATCTATAAATTACTTTGGGCAGTATGGCCATTTTCATGTTATTGATTCTTCCTATCCATGAGCATGGAATGTTTTTCCATTTGTTTGTGTCCTCTCTGGTATCCTTGAGCAGTGGTTTGTAGTTCTCCTTGCAGAGGTCCTTCACATCCCTTGTAAGTTGTATTCCTAGGTATTTTAGTGTCTTTGTAGCAGTTGTGAATGGGAGTTCGCTCATGATTTTGCTCTTTGCTCATCTATTATTGGTGTATAGGAATGCTTGTGATGTTTGCACATTGATTTTGTATCCTAAGACTTTGCTGAAGTTACTTATCAGCTTAAGGAGATTTGGGGCTGAGATGATGGGGTTTTCTAAATTTACAATCATATCATCTGCAAACAGGGACAATTTGACTTCCTCTCTTTCCTTTATTTCTTTCTCTTGCCTGACTGCCCTGGCCAGAACTTCTAATATTTATACTATGTGGAATAGGAGTGGTGAGAGAAGAGGGCATCCTTGTCTTGTGCCAGTTTTCAAAGAGAATGCTTCCAGCTTTTGCCCATTCAGTATGATACTGGCTGTGGGTTTGTCATAAATAGCTCTTACTATTTTGAGATACGTTCCATCAATACCTAGTTTATTGAGAGTTTTTAGCATGAAGGGGTGTTGAATTTTATCAAAGGCTTTTTTTGCGTCTATTCAGATAATCATGTGGTTTTTGTTATTGGTTCTGTTTTTGTGATGGATTACGTTTATTGATTTGCATATGTTGAATGAGCCTTGCCCCCCAGGGATGAAGCCGACTTGATCATGGTGGATAAGCTTTTTGATGTGCTGCTGGAATTGGGTTTGCCAGTATTTTATTGAGGATTTTTGCATCGATGTTCATCAGGGATATTGGCTCAAAATTTTCTCTTTTTTGTTGTTGTGTCTCTTCCAGGTTTTCGTATCAGGTTAAATGCTGGCCTCATAAAATGAGTTAGGGAGGATTCCCTCTTTTTCTATTATTTGGAATAGTTTCAAAAGGAATAATACCAGCTCCTCTTTGTGCCTGTGGTGGAATTCGGCTGTGAATCTCTCTGGTCTTGGGCTTATTTTGGTTGGTAGGCTACTAATTACTGCCTCCATTTTAGAACTTGTTGGTCTATTCAGGGATTTGACTTCTTTCCAGTTTAGTATTGGGAGGGTGTATGTGTCCAGGAATTTATCCATTTTTTCCATATTTTTCTAGTTTATTTGCGTAGAGATGTTTATTCTCTGATGGTAGTTTATATTTTTGTGTGATGAATGGTAATATCCCCTTTATCATTTTCTTTGTGTCTATTTCATTTTTCTCTTTTCTTCTTTATTAGTCTGGCTAACGGTCTATCTATTTTGTTGATCTTTTCAAAAAACAAACTCCTGGATTCACTGATTTTTTTTGAAGTTGTTCGTGTCTTTATCTACTTCAGTTGTGTCCTGATCTTAGTTATTTCTTATATTCTGCTAGGTTTTGAATTTGTTTGCTCTTGCTTCACCAGTTCTTTTAATTGTGATGTTAGGGCATAGCTTTTAGATATTTCCCACTATTATTGTGTGGGAGTCTAAGTCTCTTTGTAGCTCTCTAAGAATTTGCTTTATGAATCTGGGTGCTCCTGTATTGGGTGCATATATATTTAGAATAGTTAATATATATGCACCCAATATATCAATATCAACAAGATCAGTCTTGTTGCATTGATCTCTTTACCATTATGTAATGCCCTTCTTTGTCTTTTTTGATCTTTGTTGGTTTAAAGTCTGTTTTATAAGAGACTAGGATTTCAACCCCTGCTTCTTTCTTTTCTTTTCTTTTCTCTTTTCTTTTTTCTTTTCTTTTCTGTTCTGTTCTTTTCTTTTCGCTTAGTAAATATTCCTCCATACCTTTATTTTGAGCCTTTGTATGTCTTTGCATGTGAGATGGGTCTCCTGATGGGTCTT